TAGAGGTGGAGGTACAGAAGGCATTGGGCACGTTGGTTTCCACCATTTGATCCCTTTTCTTTTCCTTACAATGATGTATCCCTTTGATCTCCATTATTAGAAATCAGGAGTTGCCCACTAAAAAAGAAATCAACAAGATGCAAAGTCCCATGTATCGACATTTTCGAACCCCACCCTTCCACAACACAAGTGTACAAGGTAGACTAAGGCATAGCCTAGTGGTGGAAATGGGTTGATGCTTTCTCATCCATCTAAGTTCAAGGCATTGTACTTGCAATTTGGGTTTGTTGCATCAATTAAACTGCAGGGGCCTCCCTTACAATCTTTCTATAAAAAACATAGGTGTACGAGTTGTGCTATCCCATAGAGGTGGAGGTAGGAAAGGCATTGTGCACGTTGGTTTCCACCATTTGTGAGGCCCGACAGCTGGCCCTTAGAGAAGTGCATGAATCTGTAAGGTCCTCACATATCAGTTACCGGAAATTTTGGTGACCCCCCAGAAAATTTGATACGGTTCAAAAATTGAATTATATTGAATTAAGATGACCAGATACCCTAGCCACCACTTAGGGAGAAGGAACAGTTCATGCAACTAACAGATCTTGTACTACTCTCTTTAACTGTGACCAAAACGCGATTAGTGATTATACGGCAAAATTTATACGCATTGAACATGGCGCAGTTGTATGGCTCCATTCTGGTCCAGGCAATGTAGTTTAGTTGTGTCGTGCAAATTGTAATTTGAGTGACACGAGTTCATTTTCAAAAGCATGACAAAAGTTTGGCTACAAACGAAATGACCTCTTATGCCGTGGGATATTCTATTAATTTTTCTACCGGGGTACTTAAACATATGAAATATAATCTTTTATCTATCTATTATATACTTAAAACGATAGAAAACGAACGGTTGAGATTTTATCACTCTTGAATTATGATATTTGGACGGTCTGGAGCGTTCTTGATCTATGTATACAAGTCAAATAGACCTTGACTTCTGGAGCGTGCCAAAATCAAACTTTCCTAAATAGAACAATGTGTACAGGTTGGTCATGTGCATATTTACCAAGGATAAATACATCTTCACCTAAAATAATAAGGAATAATACAACTTGACTTCGGGAGACACACGCATATGCAAGCGGCATAGCACACAACTCTGACACGTGCATGTGTATGAAATAAAATCTGATTTTAGTCAAACAAGCCACTACGTTTGCTCACATAGATTAAATTATCTTAACCATAAATTTTAGATATTAGCGGCTGAGATAAAAAAGATGTAGCATTACACATAAATATTATCACATACAAAAAGTTTGACACGTCACATGTCATGGACAAATATTCCAACACGTCTTTGCTCTAACTGAAGTGCCTTTCTATATTAGAAAGACAGTCCGAGAGGCAACCATACATGGCTTTATAGGCGCAAAAAAACTATACGGCAGCTACCAAGGCAGCCAACTAAGGAGGAGTCCAATTCACACCAAAAAAAGACACAAGGAAGGAACGTACGGCAGCAAGGAGGAGTTCAATTCAGAAAAAAAACAAGGAAGGAAGCGTCCAAGTATAGAATCCATGCGCTGATCTCATCTATGATTTTGACTCAATAATCAATCTAGACACTTAGATTTCTACACTAATAAAACAGTCTTGACTCTTGGTTAGTTTGGGATAATAGAAGTTCTTTCCCTAGAATGAAAAGTAGATAACATGTGTACGTATGCATATCAAAGAGAGATGGGGGGAGTATTATCAAAATATATTTTTAATAATAAAGTGCTCAGCTAATAAATCTTGTGAGACCTGAAATACATGAACATCAAAGTGAAAACAATTTATATTCCATTCTCGTCAAACAAAATACTAATAAATAACGTTGTGTGTTCTAATTACAATGTTGAGATTATTAAAATCAATGGAAAAAATAAGACATGCAAATGCTTTAGTTTAAATAAAGTATTCCGCTTCAAAAGTAGTCATGAAAAGGACGATGTGAAAGCATCTACAATGTACTTGCGTAAGCAACATCCATTTCACAATATAAAGCGCATAAGTAAACTTGCAGTCAGTTCTAACAACCATTGACCAATATGCAAACGTATATTGGTTGGGCATGTAAGAATAACAATCATTGTATTTTTTTATAACCATATGCCATTTTACTTTTTTTAAATCATAGCTAAAATTCTAAACTTGAAAATGCAAAAAAAAAATCAAATGTCCCTTTAATTTGGAACATATGGATGATTGTATAATTATTGTAGAAGGACACGTATGGCCGTCATGGAAAATCCTCACAACTCTTGGAGAACAAATGAATATGCCAATCTTGTAAGTTCGACGAGTTCAATTTGCAAGAGTAGTTTTGTTGAAGGGGAGCGGCGAGCAAACAATTAAGTCAAAAAAGTAATAGAAAGGATGGAGGTGAGAGAGCGACAAATACTACTATCAGGCGGAAATTGTCAAGTTCTACAATACTTATGAACATCCCAATCATGTATGCTCGATGAATTCGATTTATAGTTAGTTTAAATCATGTATTTTTCATGAAAGAAATAGCCATGAGAAGGACCATGTGAAAGAACCTAAAATGGATAATAAAAATACCCCATCCATTTCAAAATATAAGGCACATAAGGAAGCATGCAGTAAGTGTTTAGAACCTTTGACCACTAATATATCCAAAAGTATATGGGTTGGACATAAGAATAGCAACGTGGTATTGACCCAAAATACTCTTTTTGATCATTTTACTCATTTTTAAATTTGTTATAATAAACATCATAGATAATATAGATAAATACCCCAAATCAAAGAGGGTTTTCTAAGAGAGGAAGAATGCAAAAAATATTAAAAATATACAAAAAAAGAAAAACTATTGGGAAAAATATAGGTGACATGGTAAAAAGAGGAGTAGGGGCTACAATAGAAATGGTAGAATGACATTCATATATTAAAATAGAAGTGCTTTCAACTAAAGACCAAAACTGATTCTACCGAGCTAATTAACATGTTTGTGGAATATGATATTTATACAAATTTATATATCCATTGACATATGAAAAAGCCAATGTAGAACTGAATACAGTGGAAGAAAAATTAGCATGGAAGGACAAATTACCAAGAAAAGACACAAAGCATGACAATATGTAATAATTCTGTGAGCATGAATCCATCTGCCACCACAACGCTAATGATGAGGTGATGTCGAAACATAAACCATGCTGAGACTTAGGACATCGATTTTTTTGATTTAGTTCTTGGGTTAAAATTTATTTATATTTTTTATATCAAAAATTAGTGTCCATACTTTGGTGCTATTGCCAACTGATAAGCTAGTATAAAAGATAGACATAGAGGAATGTGTGTTTAAAAATTTGTAAAATAGGGTAATAATACTTAGATTGTCCAGGTGAGATAGCATAAATAAATATATCATTAAATTACTTTCAACACTAACATTATATTCTATAAAGCATATTCGTGTGAATAGTGATCAAACTACTGATTTGGAGACCCTCTTAAAATCTAAAACTTCATGTTTAGATATATGCCGAAACTCTTGCTGCGGAAATACGCGGGTGACCCTGCTAGTTAGGGCAAAAACTAATACGTAGTAACATTCTCAACCAATATACACCGATGATTGGCGTATATAATAAAAAGTGGCGTGTAAATGTGAGGGACATCAGCTAGTTTATGAACAGACTTGCTTGTGCCGAAGATGTAAAAAAAAACCCGTGCATTTTGATGTTTGATGATCGCCCAAACGCGATGTACAAATCGGGCACATTTGGATGTGCATGCTGACCACATACACCACGATAGCATGTCGTAGCAGCTCGCTTGAAGCCAGGAAATCCTACGGCTTGGTCAAATCCTACAATCACCGTCGGTCCACTTTAGCTTGCGTGGTTTCCAAGCTGTAATTAAATTTATAATCCCCCATCAACTAAGATACACCCACGAGTCAACATAACGCTACTACTGCAAAAAAAAAAAAAAAACTAGTCAATACAAGAGTTTTTTTTGCGGGGTAGTCAATACAAGAGTTGCTCCTCTAGTACACACAAAACATTAGTTCGGTTTTAAAACCAGTTCTCCTGAAATTTGCCAGCCAAAGAATTTGAAACTTGTACAAAACAAATAATTCAAATTAGCCTCTACAATTTCTTGTGAAAGCACAGAATAATCCCCTCAAGTAACCATTAGTGTACACGTACACTACTGCAGTACTGTAGTATTTACATCAGCTGATCACCAACACGGAAGTACCACTATCAGCGTGCAACTTAATTGGAGACGTACGTACGTGCAGGGTCAGCCAAGCGTAACGCGTGACGCGTCGTCGGGGGTGGTGGCCGACGCCGGCGACGAGAAGTAGGGGTCGGACACCACGAGCCCGTTGAGGAAATCCGCGAACCGGTGCTCATGCCGCCGCCTGGCGCCGGCGGCGCCCTCCTCGAGCGCCCTCAGCAGCGCCTCCGCCTTGGCCTTCCCCCGGGGCTGGCCTCGCCCTCCGCCAGCTCCCTCACGGCCTCCTCGGCGCCGCCCACGTCCAGCACCTCCGCCATGGCCATATATGAATCAGTTTTCCAGAGTCCGCAACAGATCACATTTTTTGTTAACAATTACATTGATGAGCTTGGTCAGTTGAATGCTAGGAATGAGCATCAAATAACACATACGGCATCATCTGCACAACAGAAAAGGTGGCTGCCACCGCCAACTGGCAAGGCAAAGTTTAATGTGGACGGAGCAGTGGCCAGGTCTCACGGGGAGGTGCTGCCGCCGCGATATGTCATGACCAGGAGGGCTTATACCTGGGCTCATCAACATTTGTTTTTCAGGGAATTACTGATCCTGTGATGCTAGAGACTTATGCTTGCCGGAAAGCTTTGGCATTGGAAGAAGATCTTGTGAACACCAATATATGTGTGGCCTCGGACTACCAAGAAGTGGTTAATGATATCAACAGGGGGACAGGAGGTCCCAACGCTGCTCTAGTACATGAAATAATGCTTCGTTCTAATAGTTCTAATTCATATTTATTCATGACCGTAGGGACCATAATTACGAGGCTCATAATCTCGCCAAGTTTGATTGTAACCTAGGACTAGGTAGACATGTTTGGTTGGGCTATCCACATGACCCAAACCTTGTACCTATGTCGCTTGCTTTCGATGAATATAGGATGGCGAGATTTCTCAAAAAAAAACATAGAAATGTCTCAAAAAACAGTGCCATCACTGGTGGAAAAAAGGCCTTTGGTCGCGGTTCGCAACTGCCATTAGTCGCGGTTGCGCAACCGCGACCAAATAAGCGCGACTAAAGCCCCCCACCTTTAGTCGCGGCTGCTTAAGAACCGCGACTAACGGCCCGTCCACGTGGGCGCCAGGCGGCCGTCGGGGCGGAGGACCTTTAGTCGCGGTTCTTCTGGCCAACCGC